CCAGGGGAACGGGCAAGTCGAACGCCTCAGCGGGACACTCTGGAACGCAATCCAGCTTGACCGTGCCTCAAAGTATGAGCCCGTCGTTGAGGAAGTCGAACTTATAAATTGCAATCCACATTACGCCCGTGTTCGTTTTCCCGGCGGGAAAGAAAGCACTGCATCCGTCCGCCATCTCGCTCCTTGTGGTGATCGCACACATGTCAACGATTTCACGCGTACCTCATCCAATGAAGACAATGGTGTTCATGCACCCCCTCTATCTGACTTGCACACGCCTCCGCTCAATAACATTGGAGATGATATCGATCATACTTCAGTCTCACCCCCGTGCCCGGGCAATGCACCTGCATCTCCAGATACATATGACCCTAGCATCTCTGATTTAGCCAGGCTCCAGCAGCGTACACGGCCCTACATTTTAAGAAATCGAGAAGCCTAACCACACTCATTATTACTCATTAGATTTTTACAATCATTCATCCAATACCTGTACCCAATTTATCCCTCTACACACAATCCAACGGCCAGGGTGAATGTCATGAATATTCTTTGTGCTCACATTATCGTTTTGTATTAACCATGCTTTCGCCTTCATTTTCAGCTTATGTACGTCTATTCTTAGACAAGTAAAGCGCTATTCACTCTACGCCATTCATTCTTGTTCCCGCGCTCAATCAGAATCGATATTCTATTCGTAACAGTCACCTGGTATTCGGGGTACATCAGCGAGTTGACGCAATTCACTATCATTAACATCGACAGCATGATATCAGTGTTCAACGAACTAAATCTCACTTCGTCGTGGCGATCGGGATTCAGTACTGCAGTAATTCTGAGGGTGATACTGGTTGGAACCCAATTCCTGGAGGTTCAGCTCAATTAAGCCAAGAAGTCCAAAGGGGAGCAGCCCGACGAAAAAAAGCGAGGCTCTGTACTGCAAGAAATCACATTACGAGGTCTGGAGCTAAAGTTGTACTATCCTCTTTGAGAGGACTGTGAAGGCAGTAAGCTATTCTCTCCTGGACACCAGCATGTCCATACTTATGGAAGCAATGATGCTACCCCTCCCCGATGAAAGGCAGGTTAGGGAAGGTCGGTCTAAAACCCACAAACTGATTGCCCAACGGTTGACCGAAACCTCCAGTCAATTATTCACTAAGGTCGAAGTACTTTTGAAATTAAAAAATCCGGTGCTACCCAAGATGCACCTGCTATGCGCGGCCGCATTTGGAGTCAAACTAGTATGCCCTACTCCCAGTGCCCTGAACCAGGTCAGCTCCATGCAGCAAAGTGGGTCAGACTATCCACTCATTGGCTTCGGGAAGGATCTCCCAAGAAAACCCCGAAGATGCTGTCTCGCGGTTTAGACTCTTGAGTCAGGAGGGATAACCGAACAAACTCCATCCTTTGGCCTGGAAAACCGGGAAGAGTAATTCACCCTAACACGTCTCCGTTAACTGAAGCCTCCTCACACACCCCTCACGCATGTACTTCTGAATCATTCAGCTACTCATTGCTTCGTACCTGTGCTTCTGTGTTTCAGTAGACGATCATCTCCGTGCTGTCAGGTTGATTGGTTCAGTTGACGGCAATGCAGCTCGATATGGTAAATGGTGTTTGTTTTTTCATCAGCATACGGTCCGAAATACGGAAGTGCATGGAATGAGAAAGGAATATTCTATTGTTATTTGACACAGCTTCTCTAATCAGCGAGAAGTACAAATATAGTGATTCCGTCAGGTGACATGAATGCTTAGGTTGGCCACCTGAACCTTGAGGAAGCTCAGGGCCAAATCGAGGTTTACGCCTGCTGCATGGATCATTGGAAACGACTTCGTGAGCTGTGCACCGAACATAACTTGATTTTAACCAACACGAACATTCAGTACAAGCGCTCATCCTGTGTGACTTAGAGGCCACCAACCGCAGACTGGCTGCGGACTCCGATGGACAATTATGCAATCAGCTAGAGATATTCAACACGAGATTTCCGCTCATTTTGGAGTATACCACCTGATTCCGACCAGAGAATTGTGCGATCTATTCTCTTTTACTGGGGACATGCTGGATGGTGCAATGCAATTCAGCCCAACACCAGCAGTGTCTCTGTAGCCCAAAATATGAAGTTGGCTTAGCTGAGAAGTTTCCAGAACTCAACAGCCAAAGTGGCAAAAAGCGAAATAAGCCATATCCCTAGTCTTTGACAGTGTCTACCCAAGGTCGCTCGCACACCACAAAGAACACTGGATCTCGTCAAGATCAGCAGGTTTGATTGAAGCAGGAAAAAGCATACCAGCAACAAGCGACCACTATGGCGCGCGCAGATCCCTTGAACGCCAAATAGTGAAGAGCCTAATGATTGACAAGGAGCACCGGTGGATCGCGAAAGCGTGAGGAACCAATAGTTTTTGTCATAGGATACAATCGCACCCTGTTCCATATTTTCCGGTCAAGTGGTGCAAAAAGAGTGGATGTTAGCGAGACGATCTCCGAAAATGACGTGTCCTTCTAGGAAATACATTTTTGATGCAAATGCTACATCACTGGTTGTTTCAGTGTACAAGTACTTCGATTTGATCGAGAAATCCGACCTTTCAGTTGCTTCATCGACAGTTTTGTACAACAGTCCTGTCCCATTTCTCCCAGACACTGCAAAACAGTTCACAGATAATTGCGCGACAGAGTCAGCAACTTTTCAAAAGGATTTTGGGTGTAGCAATAAACTTGTCTCAACTGAATCCGGACTCTAAACCGGTTTTCAACCACAAGCGTCCTTTGTATTGTTCCGGCAACAGTGAACACAGTAGTAGGATATCTCCAAACAAATATCGATGGCTATCTTTTCGTCAAAAAAGGTGAGTGTCCGAACTTCAGTGTGCATCGCACATTTCATCCCACTAAATGGTGTGCTTGATTTACATCAGTATCCATTACGAAATCGTCCGGAGGCCAGCCGTCCATAATAACCGAACATCACATAATTTGGACGGATGTCAGGTGCAGGACACGGACCAAACGGGGGCGTGCCCTGATTGGCCAGAATGCCAGCCAATCCGGATCGAGCGTCTTTGACTCGACGCTTCTTGCCTCCTCATGGACATTCTGGCATGACTTTGTGGAGCACTTGCGACCACCCCATAAACACAGTTGCAATAATTTACATCTGTCTCCATAAATGGCTGTATAGAGCTACCGTGCAGCCAATCCGATCGAGCGTCTTTGACTCGACGCTTCTTGCCTCCTCATGGACATTCTGGCATGACTTTGTGGAGCACTTGCGACCACCCCATAAACACAGTTGCAATAATTTACATCTGTCTCCATAAATGGCTGTATAGAGCTACCGTGCCTTTTAATATGCCACACTGGACGGAGCAGGAAGCCAAGGGACCGATACAGAGTTGCACCACCGCTCTGCAAGACGCAACAGAAACTCAGCAATGGGTGTTGTGAGAAACTTCACTTTACTAACGTTTACTTCCAAATCGAAATCGCAAACAATTCCAGTGGACGGCTTATGATCCATACACATGTGCTCCAATTTAATGGCCGCTTGGTTGAAAGATATGCCGAGCTGTACACACATACACCAGCGATACTATACCAGTTAACCGATGCAGTTTTGACCGGGTTAAGTGGGGCTGCCGCTGGGTTGAATAGTATCACTCCCACCAGCCCAGTTAGCACGCGTCCGCTCCTGGGTGGGTGCCAGGGTCAGCCCGTAATTTCTGCTTCCACTTATATTGCTTTTCATCAGTATCATTCTTAAACCATTCACAACCAGGATGAAAGGCACAAAAAGTGTGTAGCACTGCCCTTTATGTTCTCAGCGCATGGCAGTATGCTTGCCAGCGCGAGGATTCGCATAAATAAATGAAATGTCGTGCTTTAAATTGGGTTCGAGAAGGAGCGTGTACAACCGTCGGAGGAAGGTCATTCCACGCAGCTACTACCCGAAATGAAAAAAAGTTTTGTCTAATGAATGTGTGTGCCCTGAGCTTGAAGATTTTCTTACTATGTCCCCGCCGGGTGTTTGCTGGGTCAACGGTAAAAAACCTGTTTGCCAAGCTTTGTTCAAACAGGGCGTAAGTAAGAATTAGGTCCCCTCGGAGGCGACGGTACTCCAGGGGAAAGAGATCAAGCATCGCGAGACGCGTTTCGTAGTCCACGGA